CGGTTACGCATTTCTACCTTATTCATATAAAAATATTGTCCAACAGCTGTTGAGACCCAAAGATTAGACCAAGAACATTATGTTAAAAATCTCATCTTATTTTTATGGGCAAATTTTTTCTGCTCATTTAGTATAACGAGTTGGAGATAACAATACACTACACTTAGTGTTGACCAAAGGTCAAAAAGTCAAAAAACGAATTGACTTTTGACCCTCAGGGTCAAAAAAATCTTTGACTTTGACTTTGACCCGGGTTAACCTTTTGACCATATTACGTAATTGTTGTCATAACAACAATAGTAATAATTATGTATAATATTAATAATTAATTATTTCTTTCGATACAATTGAATTAACTATATTACTACATTTATTATATATGAACAGTTAATTCTCTTATCGAAATTTAACCAATTTAATCTCTTAATCGGTGCATATGCACCCAAAAAAGTTGGTCAAGGTAAAGTGGTTAACCGTTTTTGACCGGCTGATGTCATTATATGAATTATTTTTAGGATATTTTGCAAAAATTTTAAGATATTTTCTTACTTTTGGGGTTAAAAAGTTAACCCGGGTTAACCCGGGTCAAAACCAAATTTGACTTTTAACTTAACGAGTCAAAAAAAATTTTGACTTTGACCCGGGTTAACCTGAGTCAAAAGTTAACCCTGAGTCAATTTGGTCTACTCTAACTACACTATACACACACATTGGCAATAGTGTACCGAATAATCAATACCATAATCATAATAATAGTTGTCATTAATCTCCATAATAATAAATCCCTAAAAATTGGTTTACTGTTAACTAATGGATTTGATTTGCGATCAACTAAAATTAGCCTCGTTTATTTTGATTACTATTTTATAATGTCCAGTAATATAGTAAGTTTAATATGGTATTTGTTATAAGTTTACCAGTTCAATATAAAATTTTAAAAAAAGTTTAATTAAATGCTTTTATTCTCAACACAGTTGCATACAATTGTACTTGGATAAATAAAAACAATACAATAAATTCATATATTTATTATTACTATTAATTATTGCTATAATTAATTATAACTCCTGATTTATAATTAGATAAACATTGTAAATATAATTATATTCGATAATTAATTAATATTTTTAACATAATGTTCTTGGTCTAATCTTTGGGTCTCAACAGCTGTTGGACAATATTTTTATATGAATAAGGTAGAAATGCGTAACCGGCACCTTCGTAGAATTTGCTCTGAAACTCGACCCTGGTGGTTAAAACAAAAATTAATTAATTATATATTAATATTAATTATATAATTGTAAATACCAGTGAAGTCGCAGGGCGTGCAAAAATGCTGACAAGCCCTCCATAAGCAACAGTATAGCGACGGTAAGTACAGACCAGGCGGCGAATATGACAAACATAACCACCGCGCTGATAATGTTGCCAGCGTTGAACGGGGTACTTTCCTGGATACCTGTATTTAAATAATTAAAACTTGGTTATATTTTAAAAATACAAAAATAAAATTTAGTATTTGTATAAAATTTTCTGACTTTCTAAATATAATTTAAAATTTATTTATTGTTACAAACTTAATGTATCATATGTTTTATTTCATGGTATTTTGTTTGTTATTATTAGTTAAGCACAAGCTTAATTTAATTTTTATAGATTGCATAGTCTAATGTATTTGTAATTTAATAGAGTTTACAATTTTTGTTTTTTATATTTATCTGCAATATATTGTTTTATATAAAGTTTTAATTGTATTAAGACTAGTTTATTTTATTTTTTGCTTATTCTATTATGTTAACACAAATATACTAAAAAATATATCGATTTAATCATACAATCGATTATTTGACAAAATATTCTTAAAAACCTATTTAAAAAGTTTTATTTTTTGTTTTATATATTTTTTCGTTGACAGAAAATCATTTATTCATCTGAAATCTCTCTCTCTCTCTCTCTCTCTCTCTCTCTCTCTCTATTTAATATATAATAAAGTAGGAAAACTATTTTCCAATATACTATAACATGACAACCATTTATTTGCTAAAAAATACTAACAATAAATCACAAAATATTTTATAAATTTAAATATTTTTTCTAATAGACATAACTTTGTTTTGTTAGTAT